CATAAAAATAACCAATGAGGTAGCACCTGTGACTTGCCTAAAAGTATTGTAATTTTTTTTTTTTTAAAATCAATTAACACAAGCAGGCTAAAAAGCAGCTTATTGAAATGCATAAGGCACAGTTATTCGCCAGAGGTCTTGAGAAGCCTGTACAGATGCCCAAGTGAATTCAGAATTTTCTAAGGTAAGCACATGCATAAAGGTGCCAGCCTCCTATGCCATTATGCATGGTACATGCAAAGCAATATGATTTAACCATGTTGCCCATTCACTCACAGAACAAAACTGACCGCTTTCAAACTGCAAAAAGAACTTGTTTTCTGACAAGAGTCTAGTCTTAGAGGGTGCTCCTCAGGATCAAGAACTACAATTTATGTGGCAGTTAAATGCCTCTAAAGAAGTTTCACATACCAAGTAATTAAAGCAGACCGTTTACTTGTGGAAGACAAGCTACATTTCACATGATAACACAGCTGTCACTATCAGCAATGAGGGATTAAAAACTACTATTGCTGTGAGATTCAAAACCCTATTAGCAAATAGAGGTAAAATACTGTCATCTTATATGGGAAGGGTTAAAAAAAAGCACAATTCTAACTTACCTCCTTTATAGTTTCAAGGGGGAGAGAGGATTTGAAAAATATATATATATAAGCTTGAGTGTCATAAAGATCTCTTAAGCTCTTTTGTGACCCCACTAGCCTAAGGGAAAAGAAATGGTCAATCGTTCAGGACGATCTAGCTAATAGGTTTTCCTTGCAAAAATGATTCCAACTACTCTGCCATCATTTTCTACTGCAGCTTCCACAGAGACAGGAAACTGCAAAGCACAGGCTTCATACTGAGCCAGACATCCAAGTGCCTCCTATCCTGCTACTCCCACACAGCCTACTGCTTAGGCCCGCAAGCCCCTTCTGTCTAGGTTTAAATCCATGAGGGGCAACATCACAAATGGCATGTGGCCAACATCATCAAAAAGGTCTGAAAAACTGTTATGACTTACACAACTGGTGTGCATGTAACCTTAACACAATTTATTTATTCAAAATAAATGCTAAAGCTAATCAGATAGCAGAACTTTTAAATCACCATTTCAGTAGTTTGTGATAGACTGCAATCCAGAAGGGGAGCACCAAGAGCCACAGTCTTGCTTTTGAAATTATGCAGAGAAGCACCATGGTCTGAAGGAGTGCTGTTACAGGCTTGCCTTGTTCTCACCTTCTTCTTCAAGGAGGAGAACGGGGTAAGTGGACCCTGGGTCTGACCAAGTAACATCCCTTCTGCTTTGATGTAAACCCTTGGGGTAAGTCAGGCTCTGGGAACAAGCTTTGACATTTGTACTCTACTGCTGCACCCCTTTGCCCCACAGTAACACCAGACAACCTCACTCCATTGAAGACCGTCCCCATACTTGCCTCAATTCTGAAGTGCCTGGGAGGCAATTCAAGGCAGAGCAGTCCTCAACTGCAGCCACTCATCATTTTTTATAGGCGACCATAGAGGACCACGGCACATACAGACAAGTCCTGTGAAGCAGCTGCCAGATACACTAACTTGCTTGTTGGTCACAGCACCAAAACCCAGCTTTTATTTGGATAGAGAACACAGGTACTTGGGTTGGGCTGGAGATGGTTGAGGAAGTAGAAAAAAGCCTATGTATCCACATGCAATTTAATTGAGAAAGCCAGGCTTACTGACATGAAAGAAAAATTAACGTATGAAGACCACGAGCAAAAATATTCCCAAACAGCTATTTATAGCTTTGACCTTTTAGATTTTCTGCATCACTAACTCAAGAAACAGCCTGCTGCCTGGCAAGCAGAGGTGAATGAAAGGAGAGCAATGCCAACTTGTTAAAGAGAGTCCTTGCTAAAGGGATGCTGTCAGCCTGAAATTTTAAATTTCTATCTAATAGATCTTAGACAACTACTACTACAAAAACCTTGCAGAATTACAACATGATTTTCGGAAGGGTGTGTGGTGGGGTCTCTTTTCAGTCTTTGCTTTACACCCTTGTCACCACTTGGTGCATAAATAATCAATTTCAATGCTCTGCTGACAACAGCATTTCATGTAATACACTCTCCAGCATATGCTTTTCAAGGGGTTGGAAGGAGTGCTTGCTTCTAGCAGAAGGAAACGAAAAACTGGAAGGATAGCCAAGAGTCTTACGCACAAGCAGTAGAGATTATTACTTTCACCTTTCCTTCCCCAGATGACTTTTTTTTTTCCCCAGGGTTGTTTTAAATATTGTACTTGGGACACTGCTCCAGAAGAAGATATATGCTAAGGTTTCTTTTTTTCTGCTTTTATTTTTTTTTCTCTTTTTTTTCCAGGAGGGGAGTCTTAAATGAAAGATGACAAAAAGATGCCAGTATTACTGGAAGGATGATGTTATGAAATACACTTTTTTAATTCCAAGTGTATATTCCAGATTTTGTTCTTCAAAGTTTCATACTTTCAACCATTAAAGGGCTCAAAATTTTGTCTTGGAACAGGTAGAAAGTAGCAAAGATGATCTCGAGAGGAGGAACTGAAAACACTGCTCATTTTAATTCCTAGAAGTTACAGCACACTTATATGCTATATACATGGACCACATCTTCATAATTATTGTTTATAATGTACATACACACATAAAGACAGCATGGAGCAAAGGCAAAGAAAACAGTAATAGGACAATCCCTAAGAGGAAGAGACAAAAGAAGAAAGCTGGATCGCTGGGCAGAAAGAAGGGATGGGTAAGGGACTAGCACCGAGGTCTAGTTGAAACAGCAACAAATCTGGCAGTGTGTGTGTTTCAGTTCCCACTTGCCCAACTTGGCTAGTAACAAAGCTACTGCCTAGACAAACAGGAACAACAATTACATGACCTCAGTAGCCATGTGCTGTTTCAAGATTAAAATTCTTACAGAACCATAATCCTCAGACCAACATTTTAAACATAAAAAGCATACTAGGCTTTTTTTAACTGTCTTGGTGACTGTAAATAAGACACTGTGGAGCTAGTTCTGGCCGATTTAGCTTTTATTGAAACGTTCATGCAAGATTCTCTTTTAGAAATGAATCAGTGAGTTTTCTTCAATTAACTTGTGATAAAAATTAAGGTTCCTAAGAAAGGACATGTTCTGTAACATTTACCTTGTTCTTACTAAATCAAACTTATCTAGTTCACAGCATTTACAAAAGCAGCATGAAGTATGTTTGCTGAATAGCTTTTGCTGTATGAGCACAATCAATATAGTTTTTGCAACCTCTCAAGTAGTATCTAAGCAGGTAAAAAGCTGCTGGTATAGTACACAAAATTACTTCTGGGACATAACTCTCAGGTTTAAATTCTAGAGAAGCAAAGTGGGTTTTGTCGGTCTTTTTTCAGTAACCTCAGGCATCAACAGTCATACTAGCATGTTGAAGGACTGACTCAGACAGAATGGGATAGCAAGTAAGGGGAATTAGCTACAAGAAATATTTCTCCCATTTGCAGTTATTATCTGACTTCAGCCCTTAAGAAAGCATCATGGTTTAGCCCCAGCTGGCAGCTGAGCACTACACGGCCGCTCGTTCACTCCTCCCCACCCCCTGTGGGATGGGGAGGAGAATCAGAAGAAAAAGGTAAAACTCGTGGGTTGGGATAAGGGCAGTTTACCCGGACAGCAAAGGAAGAGGAAAATAATAACAACAATACTGATAAAAGAATATATAAAGCAGGTGATACACAATGCAATTTGCTCACCACCCAGAACCGGATGCCCAGCCCATTCCCCAGCAGCAACTCCTCCTCCCAAGCCAGCTCCCGGAGCATAATGTCATAAACGGAGCATGATGTCATATGGTATGGAATATCCCTTTGGCGGGTTTGGGTCAGCTGTCCTGGCTGTGTCCTCTCTCAGCTTCTTGTGAAAATTAACTCTATCCCAGCCAAAAACCAAGACAGAAAGCAAGCATCAATTCTGGAGAAGGCAGCCAACAAATCCTCCCCAAAAAGGGCTACCAGGAAAATGGCTGATACGACAGAGCTGAACACTGGACATAATGTCATTTTATTCAACTGATGAATACAGATCCAGTGACAGTGGTGATAGGTGTAGAGGTCCTAACAGGTGGGGATGGCAGAGCAAAAAAGCTTTACTGAAGGTAAAGAGCCAAGAGTGAGAAAGTGGCAGAAGATGAGCAAACACTGTTCATATATATCCTGCCCACTTAAGTGTCTCACTGTTTTATTTTTATTGTGAAAGACACATTGAGGTGCTGAAGTGTGTCCAAAGAAGGGCAACAAAGCTGGTGAAGGCTCTAGAGCACAAGTCCTGTGAGGAGCAGCTGAGGGAACTGGGGCGGTTGAGCCTGGAGAAAAGGAGGCTGAGGGGAGACCTTATCGCTCTCTACAACTACCTGACAGGAAGTTGTAGCCAGGTGGGTGTTGTTCTCTTCTCCGAAGAAACAAGTGACAGGAAAAGAGGAAATTGCCTCAAGTTGCACCAAGGAGGTTTAGATCGGATATTAGGAAAAATTTCTTCACCAAAAGGGTTGTCAAGCACTGGAATAGGCTGCCCAGGGAAGTGGCAGTCACCATCCCTGAGGGTATTTAAAAGACACATAGATGTGATGTTAGGGACACGGTTTAGTGGTGGACTTGGCAGTGCTAGGTTAACGGTTGGACTTGATGATCTTAACGGTCTTTTCCAACCAAAAATATTCTATGATTGTATGCTCTCAAATCATCAGATCATCCCAGCTTTTTCAATTTCAAAGTGAGACTAAATTTCAGGGGAAGAAAGAACTACATGTTACTGTCTGCAAATGCCATAAGTCATTTTGGGACATCAAACAACAGAGCTCCTATAATACTCCCGCAGTGGGGAAAACACAGTTTCATGGAGAATTTGACAGGTAACAAAAGGACTCACTGGCACTATTTCAAAGCTCATGATTTCAAGGCTTAGAAACATGAAAACTACATGACAAAAAACTATCAACGACCAATCTTTAACCCTAGCTCTTACCTCAGCAGGTTTCTTTTGTTCATTTGCTGGTGTTTTTGACTTGCTCCTGTATTTAGAACAAGAAGAAAAGGAAGTGGAAGGACCTGTTAAAAAAAAAAAAAGACATAAAAAAGGACCATTATAGCTCATTTCATTTAATTTTTCAGTAAAACACAAGGCACTCCAAGCTCCTGAATTATCATAATTTTTTGACAAGACGTGGGCAAAAAACTCTTAGGCAGCCTGTAGGCTTGATTACAGCTCCTCCTGTTCCACTCATTCTTTGTAAAACCACAGCACATTGAGTTTATGGTTACATTCTGCTCTGCTCAATACAAGCAAGAGTAAACAAAAAAAAGCAGGCAGACCACTTGCCTTCATTTCCTTTCTAACAAAGTGAAAGGAGGAGCAGAACCAAGGACAGAGTTTGCAAGTGCTAAAAAAAAAAAAAAAAAACAACACCCCACCAGCAAAGCAATGATACTAAAGCTGATGAGAGATGCAAAAACATCCTAGTGTGATGTCTAGACATTTCTGGGCAAAATGTTATTTCAGTACAGGATACATTAATGACTTGCAAGGAATATGACAATGAATCATCATTATGTATAGAGTTATTAGATAGGCACAGGTTTATAAGAAACAAACAAGACCCTACCATACGGGGGCGTGGGGGGGAGCAGTTTGCAGATAAAGTGGGAAGATGCAACCTCAGACAGATGCGTGCTAAGGAACATTTCAAATATAACTTTACTAAATTGTGTAACAGACCAAAATGGAATAGATCAAGAACCAGTATAATGTAACAATCAATATACTGGTTATAACTCTATCTTAGATATAACTCTAACATATCAAAGCCCAAATAGCTTGCTACCCCTAGTAATTTTGAAGTTGAGGCTCTGCACAACAAGAGACAACAGGATTCCTTTAAAACAAAATAAATTACAAAATAAGACCCTGGACAGTAAAATTGCTCTTGAATTACAGAATTCTTTTTCCCAGGTCTAAAAGGGAAAGACATATAAGTTTCTCTTCAAATTCTAAGTAGACTCAAAACTCCCCCCAGGTTTACAGGATCCTTCGACTCATTTTCCTCCCATAACAGGATTAAGAACACCAAAGACCACAGAACGCAAAATCAAGCAAGAAACATTTTTTTTTAATTATAAGAGGTGAAACGGTTTGCCCTCAAACCACAGAAGGAAACCACAAGGGGGTGATAGACCAAAGAAAAACTAGCAGGTATTACTTACTCTCATTGTCTGAACTGTCACTGGTGCTTAGATGCCTGTGGCGTTTCATCCTGACGCATCCTAAAGAGAAAAAAAAAGTTGATGGCAACCATCCTACCAGAAAATCACCGGCTGCTGGCTGACACCAAGCTCTTCACACTGAAAGCAAAGCTCCTCTGAAGAGCTTTCAGGCACATAAATAATCCCAGTTCAGCCACTATGTTTTATTTTTGCAAGCAACTATTAGACCACAGTATTATTTGTGAAACTGAGCACCCGCAAAACCAGCATGCCTCTGCTGGGCAGAGCGTGCTTGAAATTTTGCAGAAAGGAGTGCAACCTGCCAGCTGATTCCCGGCAGGGCGTGAGCGGCGGTGCTTTGCTCTCTGAGGAGACTCAATGTCCCATCTGTTCAGTCAGAGGAAGAGTTGCCATGGTGGCAGTCGCTAGCTGAGAGACAGTGGAGGCCAGGAAGTAAGGTGGATGCACAGCAAGGCAAGGATTTAGAAAAATAACTCACCTTAAAAAAACCAAAAAAACCCCACCCAAAACCACCAAAGGCATCCATTCAAAACAAAAGGCAGACTTTAAATACAGACAACCACAGAAAATGGTGACTGATGCCATTTAATTTAAATCATCTGATCATGGATTAGTTCACACGAAATGTGGTTTTCAGAAGTTTGAGATCAAGGGTATCAGTGAGAAACAGTTCCATGGTGCTGCATCAGATCCATTAAAAAAAGGTATTCAGCATTTTGAAAATGTAACGCATACAGAGACTGGGGAAGAAGAAAATTCTGCACTACTACTTACAAAAGAAAGATCAAACTAGTGACCAGCTATATAATCTAAAGAAGTGCCAACAGAAATCCATATAGATTCTTAAAAGTCCTGCCATTCTATAATATTTAATGTTACATTTGTTAAATAAGAATCAGTAACACCTTAGAATTAATAATAATAAATGAAAATCACCCCATCTTTTTAATAGATTGAATGAGCAAATTATTAGAGAAAAAAAGTAACTTTTTTTTTTTTTTTTAAAGTAGAAGATAGGCACAAGTAGGTTACAGACTGAAGTGTCCTATCCTAGGCAGACAAACCTGAAATGCCTACAGTATTGGAAGTGCCAGCCTGGCCACACCTGAAACTTAAACAGCTTCATTTCTCAAACAAAACAAAACCACATGCTGTTAAAAAAAGCAACACAGCTAAATATCCCATTTGATAAACTCTCCACGTTAGTTACTGTATAATAGGTCTTGAGATTATCCAAAGACCATGGCATAAAAAAAAAGATTTCCAGATAAAAGAAGCCTGTCCAAAGGTTTTGAAGAGATTGCAGTTGAATTGTTTGCAGCACAATTGTTTAATTTAGTGGAAATTTTCAGCAGCCTTTACATTTATGTGAGTGCATTTACTGAATCTAAATGCAGTGATCACTCAAAGTTTAAAACAATCCTTTCAACCTATCTGTTCTAAAAAGATATTGCCCACACTCCTGCAAGTTGAAAAAGGAAGCGACACGTGCAGTTTTCAACTGGGTAAACACAGAACTTCTGAGTCAGGTATTTAACGTGGGGGGAGGACAGATGGACACAGTGGTCAACAGGATGGGACATCAAAAGGTGTCATTTGTGTCACTTTAAGCAAGCTATAAACTCCCATTATATGACAGTTAATTTCACATTAATTCACCTTCTCACAGCTCAAACAACCTGGGGGAAGCAAGGCAGCCATGCTGTGCACAAAGACCATCATCCAACAGAAGACCTACATCAAAACCAAAATATGTAAGCCACCACAGGACTTCACGTCCAGCTAGCAATGTAGCATAGCTTGTACAGGCACTGGTCAGATGAAGAAACTTTCATGAATCTCTTAGCCAAAAGCTGTTTGACAGGTAAAAGGCTCTTGGGCCAGAAGGGCTTGTCTCTGTGCATGTTTTGGGAGCACCAGACTTGAAGTTAACTGCCAGCTAGTGAGGGGAAGACTAGAAGACTGTTTTCATCTTGCCAACTTGCACAGTTTAAAGGCATGGATTTAACCAAGAGCAAATAAAATGGCATTGCCTATTTGAGAGCTTGTACTCCAGCAGCCAAACCCAGCCCCCCAGAGCACACCGCCCTCCCTAAAAAGGAGCAGGTTCTGCCCGTAGCAACACTTTCTTTGCTGGCAGCCTTCAGCTCCAAACAGCCCTGGCTTACAGACCACCAGGCATGTTACATGACCTTGGGAGACACTGAAAAGATGTATTTAGGTGGGCCAAGCGGTATTCCTTGTTTTGATTTCTTAGCAAGAAACATAAGTGCTTGCTGCCGCTGCTTGCTTTGTTTCTGTGTTCAGATGAATTTTTGAGCAGTTGTTAAAAGGTGTTGAAAGCTTATGGCAAGCAATTCTCATCTCTTATAGTCTATATAAACAAGCAGCAATAAAACCTTTTCACTCCGTACTACAGACGGCTATCTGGAGAGCACATGAACATTCAATTAAAGTAGGGTCAAACACGAGGTTGAGAGAGACAAATGCAGGAGGGAACACCCAGGAAGCCTAGACTTCTGCCTGGGCAACTGGGAAAGCAGGGAGGAGATGGCTACTTCAGAGACAGCTTACACAGAAATGGCAAGTGTAACAAAATCTTCAGAATAGCAACCACATCTCTGCCAACAACTCCATAGAAGGAAAAAAAGCAACAGACCAAAACAAAACAAAAAAATAAAAAAAAAAGTTGTATTTGAGAAGTGGATTTGTAGCAGCTCAGACAAGAGATTTACACCTCCATCACAGCAGACTGAAACAGGAAAAAGCAGTCACTCAGGGTAAAAGCCCCGAATAGTAGTAACACTGGATTCCTGCCCGATTTTTTGCAGCAATGTTAACCAGAAAAACAGTAAGAGCCCACAGAGCTACAACAAATCGCAGGCACGCTGCATCCAGGAAGACAGGTTATTAGAGTGACCAACGTGCTACAAGTTCGCCATCTGTCCCTGCATGATGTAGGACTAAGCCTCAGCACCATTCAACAGGACCACCTCCGCAGGGGGCTTCACTGCTGGTTTTAACAGGAGACTCGACTCCTTTGCTGTACCCTTGAGCGCACCAGGACTGCCACGCAACTTCCAGCTCACTTCCACCCCAACGCATGACAGCTTAACAGAAAGGCTCACTAACGATGTTTCTGCTCCTAGCCATTACAGAGGGATCCCAAAGTAACACCTGTTTTGTGGTAAAGCTCCCGTCTCACTCCTTCACCTGTCTTTGCAGAACACGGAAGAATCAGCAGCCGCTCAGTTCAGAAAGACAGATTCAAAGCCAGTCCCCACAACATGGAAACCAGTATCAGCCTTTCCCAGCTTCAGTACCATTCCCCTGCAAAGCAGTCCGGCACCTTCCAGTTTGTGCCTCAGCTTCAGACAACAATACTATTAGCCAAGTGATACAGTACAGAGCAAGGCTGCAAGCAACCCTGGGCCTCAATTCCTTGCAAAACACTGTGAAGAAATAAAAAATAACAACAAAATACATATATATACACACACACAGTTATATAGCCCTAAAAGGGCTAAATGTAGAAAGAAAGGGCAATCCACGCATATTAAAAACCCAAACTGAACAAGCAGAACCAAAAATCCCACAGAAATTGGTACAACCTGTCATATACCCTAGCTTTGCCCATTTTCTAACTTCACCCCTGAAAACTACGGTGACAATAAAGCCTAGAATAAAGGAGCACAATAATTTTTTTCAACATGTGCATCAAGACTTAATGAAAAAGTGAGAAATAAATTCATGAGATTGTCAGTGCCCTTTTCCTACCTCAGAGTATCAGTTATGATGAGTGGCATGTGGCAACACTGAGAAAATCAAGTATACAGTATTATTTTTACACACAAAATGAAAAATTTAGTGGTTTTATATCAGATAATACTTTTTTCCACAGAATAAAGAAATTTAGAAAAACAGCCTCAAATAGATGCTACTTATAAAAAAAAAAAAAAAAGCTAAGAAAAGATGAGCTGTCATTAGGAGCATGACGGAAATGCCATACAGCAAACAGCTAAAACCACCAGCCTCCTTCCACTTCCTTTATCTTTATCCAGGTGTTTTGCAAGTGTGGACATTGAACTTTTTGTTTGAATTTTGAGAACTTAGTTTTAGCAATTTAGAAAGTTTAAATTTTCTCGCAGTTCCAACGTACAAGCTAAGAAAAACAAGGAATGCAAAGCAACTCAACACTGAAATGTTGCAGAGCAAAAGAGGTAAGTGACACACACACACCCCCCCCCCAAAAGAAAAGTCTCAAGAAAAACCTTCTGTGCTGGTTTTGGCTGGGACACAGTTAATTTTCTTCACAGTAGCTAGTACAGGGCTATGGTTTGGGTTTGGGCTGGAAACAGCATTGCTAACACAGGGATGTTTTCATTACTGCTGAGCAGTGCTCACACAGAGCCAAGGCCTTTGCTGCTTCTCACCACCCCACCAGCGAGTGGGCTGGGGGTGCACAAGGAGTGGGGAGGGGACACAGCCGGGACAGCCGACCCCAACTGACCAAAGGGATATCCCATACCATATGACATCATGCCCAGAATATAAAGCTGGGGGAAGGAGAAGGAAGCAGGGGACACACATTCGGAGTGATGGCATTTGTTTTCCCAAGTACCCATTACGCGTGATGGAGCCCTGCTTTCCTGAGATGGCTGAACACCTGCCTGCCCATGGGAAGTGGTGAATGAATTCCTTGTCTTGCTTTGCTTCTGTCCATGGCTTTTGCTTTATCTATTAAA